GCCTGCCCAGCCCCGCCAGGCGCGCGGGCCCGCCATGCTCCTGCTGTCGTCTCGCAGCGCGCTCCTGTCGGTCTACTGCCCGCAGATCTTTCTCATCCTGTCCAGCGGCAGCTACCTGTGAGTGCCGTGGACTGCGCGCGGGCGGGCGGGCAGAGGGCACCGCCGCAAGGACCCAGGGTGGGGCGGCTGGTGCCCAGCGCGCGCGGGAGCCAGGAGACTGCGTCGTCTCGCCGGCCTTAGCTGTCCAGGTCCAGTGCGGGGGAAGGGGGGTCCGTGGGGGGCGTCTGTGACCAGGAGAACTCCCGCCTGTGGGTTCGGAGAAAGGCAGCCAGTGCAGTCGCTAGGCAGCCCGTGGACGCCCAGCTGCACGCACTGAGCGTGCGGTCCGGGGAGCGCGCGCCGGCACGGAGGTTCCCGTGCGTCCCAGCCGCGTCGCGACACAGCCGAGGACCCTCTCATTCATCCCACGCCCGTGGCGCACTCGGGAGAGCCACACGCTCACACACGCGCCCCGCGCACCCTCTGACACCCCCGCCGAGCCGTGCCAGACGGCGACTGGACTGTGTATCCACGGTCGCGGCGGCTTCTCACGCCTTCCCGACGCTCTGGGCACCCAGACCCGTTGGGCCCCATTTCTCACCTGGGGCCGTGGGGCTGCGCTCCCGCGCGCGCCGCGGGAAGCCCCAGGTGCCCAGACCAAAAGACACGCGGAGCGGGTGGGAGCGAGGACGCGCGCGTGCGCCGAGCTCCTGGGGCTCCGGCAGGGCCTGTCCAGGGCCAGCGAGCAGAGGGGCGCGTCGGCGCAGCGGTAGCTTCGCCTAACTCCTAATGGGACGCATATGCTCTGGCCTCCGATTTAAGAAGAAGTTTGATTTACAGAACCGCCGTTTGGGGGAATTTAAGCTGGATGCTACTGATTAAACCTCAGAGTCAGCTCCCCTTCCTCCTCCCTCCCTCCCCTTCTCTCCGTCCCCTCCCCCTCCCCCTCCTTTACACGCGGGCCACGTCCGGGGTCGCCTAACGCGGCCAGAGGGGGCAGCCGCCGCCTTCCCGCTCCGCGCTCTACCCCCTCCCCGCGCGGCCGCAGTCCCTAATAAATTGCCGCGCCCCCACCCCCTTTTAATAGAGACGCGGCCAATTTCTCCTCCAGCTCCTAGGAAATTACAATCCTACCAGTTTTCCTTCTATAAATAGTCGCGCATCTTGAAACAAAAGTTCGCAACCGCAGCCAGATGCTGCGAGGCTCGCGGTTTCCCGGGCTGTGGGACTTAATTACAAGGTCCGGGCGCGGCGAGCGCTCCAGGCCCGGCGGGCAGCCCCGGCTGCGGATGCATCGCCTGGGGCGGGCGGGGCGGGGGACGCCTGCCCAGGGGGAACCCACACCGGGGAAAGGGCCAGGTTTGATGGTGGGGGGGTGCTGCCCTGGAGACGGGTCAACTCAGAGGGACCCTAGAATCTCAATTTCTGGGGTCCCTTCTCAGCCCGCCGCTACCCCCATCCCCCCAACCGAGATACCAATATCTAAAGCTTTGCCAGAGAATCTAGCTCCTCGACCTAAGAAATCATTTTGGGGCAGGCTGAGGTTTCATGTTGGTGGGGAGGCCTCCAGGATGAGAAACTAGGGGTCCGGGAGAGGTAGGGTCCTAGGAGGAGGTCAGAGAGGGGATCCAGGAGTGGTGGGCCCCTGCCCCCTCCTTCCTCTGGCAGGTGGAGGCCAGGATATTCCTCTAGACCCCAATATTTCCTTTCCAAAAAGGATCCCCCAAGCCCAGGCCTGCCAGTCTGCCATCTGCGCCCCCTCCCGCTGGCTTCAGTGTGCGCGCGCCCAGCTGTGTTGGCAGAAATTCTGAGGCAGCAGCTATCCAAAAGCTCATGAGCCAGGCCTGGGCGGGTGCCGGTTGTGGGGGGTGAGAGGCCGACTCTGCCCCCGCCTGCCCCTGCCTGCCTTCAGCACCCCCCCCCAGCGGCAGCCCCAGCATGACCTTCAATGTCATAGCAGGAAACCCTGGGGCTGACTTTGCAGAGACCAGGAAGGGAGGGGGCTGCTGTGGCCCTGATCCTGGTGTGCAGCAGGGCTGGCAGGGCTTGTGAGGGGCCGTGGATGGGCCAGGGCACAGAAAGGAGCAGGGTGAGAAGACCCTCAAGGGACCACCTGTGGCCCAGCCCCAGATTTGAGCCAGGTGGCTAGGAGGCCTCCAGGGCTGTGAAAAGTGGGTGCCAGGGGGCGATACAGCCTCCTCCTATAGCATAGTTTTGAGACAAGCCCTGTGGGATCCCAGGATGCCAGGACCAGGAGGAGGGCCTGGGCAGAGGCTTGTTTCTGCTCTAGAGAACTTTCTAGAAGGCCCACATTGCTCGCCCCACACACACTTGGTGGACACTTAAGCTCTTGCTTTTATCTGGGAGGCCCTGGAGCACCCCGTCCTGGCTGTAGCCATGCCCAGCAAGTCACAAACACATACTGGCCCAGCAGCTGATGGGGCAGCAGGGATGCTGACTGGCAGCGCCCTGGGCACCTGCGGAAGAGCCCGCATGGCCTATTGTCTGTGTCCCTGGTCTCAGCAGGAGCCTCTGGAGCAGAGAGGGCAGGTGGGGAACCTGAGGGCCTGGCCAAGGTCTCAGGCCAAGTCCAATTGGACCGTTGTCCTGGTCTGGCCCCTTCCTGTCTGGGCCTCCCTCTCCCTTTGGTCAGACGTGGGGTTGGCAGCAACACCCGCCCCCCCCCCCTCCCCCAGGTCTTCCGGTCTGAGCTGAGCTGGTCCCGGTGACGGCCTGGCCTGGGGAGCAGAGTGAGTCACTGATGATGCCGTGTTTACTCACTGACCACCTGGCCGGCAGGGGGCTGCCACCAAGGCCTGTGCCCAGCCTGCGCCTCTTCCTGGCTTGGCCACTGTGGCTTTGTTGGTGGGACCAACCTTGGCCCCAGAGCCCTGTGGGCATGACCCAGGCTGGAGGGTGCTGAATCAGGGCCCCTCCTGGGGATCACAATCTGGGGTGGGATGGGGGCAGGGTGGGCTGCTGGGCCAAGGCTGGAAGGCTATCCTGAATGAGCAGTCCAGCCCAAGTGTCTGTGCTCAGGCCCAGAGGGAGGGGTTGTTGTGGGCCTGCGTCTCCTCTGGGATATTGGCATGGAGACCCCTCCGGGTAGGCTGGGGTCCACCCACACTGTCTGTGGGGATAGGAAGCATGGGGCTTTGTAGAGAGTGACAGGGCAGGGTCTGTGCTGGGGGCTCCCGGGGACCCTCGCTGCAGATGTACAGAAAACTCCCAAGAGTCATCTGCATGGAGCAGGACCTATAGAACGTTCAGCAGGGGAGAGCAGTGCATTCTGGGAACGGATGCCTCTGTACTCTCAGTGGGCATGGGGTGGACTGGGAAGGAGGCTGGTCCTCTGTGTGTCTCCAGGAGCTGAGGGACCTGCAGGACACTGCCCACTTTGTGAGTGACCCAGGGCTGGTGCTCTCCATCCCTGCCTCCATAGCCCTGTGACTGGGGCAGATGGGGGTATTCAAGGAGGAAGTGCAGCCAGCGTGCTAGGCTCAGAGCTGGGGGTGCTGGTCAGAGCCCCATCAGTGGGGCCCACTTGGCGAACTGGCTGGCCAGTTGCACCTCCGAGGGACAGTCTGCGTCTGCTCGTTTTCAAGGGGTGTTTCAGAAGGCTTCCTGGAGGAGTTGGCATGCCTAGTCTGGTTTTGAAGGATGTATAGCTGCCCAGACAACCTTATAAAACGCAGGTGGAGAGAGCTTCCTGGCCAAGGGACACATCACCAATCACCATTAGGCACCTTCATTCAGGGGTCCCCATGATCAGCCTCAAAGTATCTAGCTAAGGTGGGCACACCCAGTCCTTCCCTGAGGTCACCCAGGACCAGGGCCCTGCCCCCAACACCCAGAACCGGAGAGAACGTTCTCCCTGGTAGAGAAATCCAGGACTTCTGGGCTCCGCAGGATCACTGTGGGCAACTGAGGCAAGATAGGAGTTCCCCCCAAGGGGAGGTGATTTGGGACGCCATCATTTCCCTCCTTCGTGAGGGTGAAGCTTCTGGGTGGCATTGTGGAGGGTCCAGGCCCGGACCTGCTCCAGGCACACCCACTATCAGCTCAGGGTAAGTGTGTAGAGAATCCAGGTGGTTGTGTATGGTTGTCCCCTAGCCCCTTGGATCTCTGCTCTGGGAGGTGCAGGGGCTTCCATGGTCCTCCGTCGGCCAGCATTCTACACGGCCCTGGGTCCGAATTGGAGAGGGCTCAGCACCCCCACCAGCAAGGGGCCAGGAGGCTGCCCCCCACCTCGTCAGATGAAACCCTGGTCGGGGCTCCTGAGCTGGATGAAAGGGTCATTGTGTGGTGCCGGCCGCCCGCTGGCCAAGGACAAAACCACCGTTTGTCCTCCTTCCCTCTGCATGCCCGGGCTGGGGGCCTCCCCTCAGCCTGGCCGGCGGTGGGGGTGGGCACAGGTGTGCACCGACCCTTCCCTTCTGTGTCTCCCTTTGGGGGGCTGCTTTGCCTGCCCAGCCTCCCCGCCCTTGCTGTCAGTGCTGCTGGTGAGAGGGAGCCCCAGGTAGGGTCAGCCCTGCTCTCAGTGGCAGGCAGTGAGCTCCTAGGCCCTGGAGGGGTCCAAGCTGAGGAAGGGGCCCGCCCTGGGCAGGGAGGCCCGCACTGCTGGGTTCTCAGTGTGAGGCAGCCTGTCCGTCCTGTTGTCGCCACCCCACGCTTCTGGTGATGGAGCTTGGGGCTCCGACTACTGGCTTCTCTTCCAGCCCCAGGCTGTGGTGGCAGCCGTGACCGAGGCTCTGCCGTTCTTGGCCTCGGGGTTCCCTTGAAGGCTCAGAGTAAAGGGCATTACACTCTTACACTCGGGCCACCCCCACCCCCCTGCTGTCCCCCCACCGTCCCCTTGCAGCCATGGACCCAAAGCCAGCACAGCCAGCAGCGATGAGGTCCTTCCCAGGAGGAGCGGCCCTGGCGTGGGAAAGCCCGAGTCAGCTGGCACCTGCAGGCCCCCATCACTTTCCCGAGCCTGCTCCCCAAGCCAGAGGGTTCCTGTGCCAAGTGGGGCTAGGCTCTGGCAGGGAGAGAGGCTAGGGATGAGGACCCTCAGGTCTTAGTTTGCCCCCACC